CTCTTTATAAAGTAAAAATAACTATTTTTAGCTGTAATAATTTTAAACTTTGAATGTACAAGATTTAAGTGATGACTATCAAAAGCCTTCAGTCATTGGTCATAGAATAGATTATACTGCATCTAGATCTAGTTGCAATGAAATGAGTTACAATCTACATTTAAAACAAACATATAGTTGTAAAATTTAAACAATGAAAGTCGCCTCACAAATAACAATTTTTTTCATTGTGTAAAAATGATTATTATGATATTACCAAAAATATAATCTATTGGCCAAAAATTGCTACCACCTAGCTATATCATTTTTCCTCACAAAGATATTTTGATTTGCATTGGGATGCATGTATAAATATAGTTTTTAAAATGAGGTCTTTCAAGTTGTGGATTGCTGCATGCTTCATATCAAGAGTACTGTATCTTGCTTAATTGCTTCATAGCTATGTCAGTAGTAAATTCGAAATTTTGTCAGAAAAGATACAACTCAGTTTAACAAGAGTACATAATACTCTTGGTCAATAAATGGAGTTAGCGTTTTTTTAGTATGAATATTATTCAGTGATTCAAGTTGCAGTACTAAAAAATTAATTAATTATTATAGATGTATTTTTTGACTAATACTTAAACTAGTATTTTTAAATTTTACATTACTATCTTTATTGCTTGCTTTTTTTTTAATATCTACAGGATTAGAGGGAAGTTATAATGATTTTAAGCTTGATATATGCAGGAAACATGATGAAAGTAAGTCGAATAAAAATATCTTATGCTCTGCATTAATTAGCAACTAGAGTTGGGTCAACTTGAATTTTGTTAGCTACTTTTCATACTGTTCATTGATAATTACCAAAACTGAATTATCTTAGTTCCTTGAGCAACTTTTAAGAGATAATGGGGCCAGCCACTGATGTAAAGATTTGCTATCAGTTTAAGTTGCTTATAAAAGCATTATAAACACTTACATTAAATATCTTAATGCAATCAGAGCAGTATTTGTAATCACGTAAAAGGAATATTTTCAAATAAAAATGATAGGTGGTAACAATTTTTGGCCAATAGAATATTTTATATTTTTGGTAATATCATAATAATCATTTTTACACAATGAAAATAATTGTTATTTGTGAGGCGACTTTTATTGTTTAAATTTTACAACTATATGTTTGTTTTCAATGCATGCAGATTGTAACTCATTTCATTGCAACTAGATCTAGATGCACTATAATCTATTCTATGACCAATGACTGAAGGCTTTTGATATCATCACTAAAATCTCGTACATTCCAAGTTTAAAATTATTACAGTTAAAAATAGTTATTTTTACTTTATAAAGAGTTAAACATTGCAACAAATAAAGACTGAATGGAATAGAAGAACAAGAGGACTGATTCGCGGGAAGTTATCATGGTGTATATTCTGAATTCTTGGGAGTTGATCCGCATTCTAGGCACACGCCCGTGCACGTTCCGCGCGTTCACGTGCTTGGTTCTGCATGCGGAACGATCCGCAGTAGTAATCCACACTGATCCGCATTCTAGTAACGCCCACAATTTAAAAGTATTGGTTGGGGCGGGTCCGTCCGGTCCGCATTTTAGACTGTACCCCACAGCAGCATAGATACTTTAATCATAAATACTTCTATGATAGCAGTACGGCTTTTCACGCCACTTGGATCACAATTGCGTGCTCCGTAAACTGCATAATACATGTATGTAGTAGTATGAAGGGGAGGGGTTTACGGAGCACGCAATGATCCAGTTCTAGTAATCCGCATTCTAGTAAAGCTCGTAAATTAATACAGTACAGCAGATTTCACTTACGTTCGAACAGTGCGTATTGCGTGTGGATCACGTGCGCCTAATAAACAATGCACGGAAAGTAGACTCACGCCTCACGCAATGATCCAAGTGGAGTGAAATTGGCTAATTTCACTTCACTTAGATCATTGCGTGAGGCGTAAGTTAAAGCTAGGTTTACATTCGACGAAACGGTGAAAAGTGCGTGGGCGATTTGATTTTTTTGACGCAAAAACGCTCTGAAGTTGACGCAAAATTGGTCAAATTTCAATTTTGCGTTCATTTGCATTGCGTTTTGTGTTGAGTGTAAACCTAGTTTTACTTTCCGTGCATGGTTTATTAGGCTCACGTGATCCTTACGCAACACGGACTGTTCGAACGCAAGTGAAATCCGCTGTATCATAGCTATGATTGCATTAATCGCCAATGTCTCTTTTTTTGTTGTTTATAATTTCTTGTAATTTTGGCGGACTTGGCGTTCCATAACCATCAAGGTCTTCCATTCCAAAAAAAATTCAAAATCAAATTTATTTTTTGAAACCTTTTCTCAAAAGATGAGGACTGAATTATTTTATCTTTCAAATGGATCTCATCTACTCCAGATATTGCGAGGTGCCTTTGTAACTCTTCAGTCATTTTGGCCCGCTAGGTTCCGGTGCAATGGTATCGTTGGTTCAGAATATTGGCCTTTTCTATCATAGATAGATCTACTATGATTACATACATGCCTACTCAGTCTTGACCTCGACCGGTTTATTATCACGTGAGCGCGCACTGATCACACTGATCATCACTAGTTAGATCCAGATGGATGCTAAAAAAGGTGATAGTAGATATGAGGATGGTGCTCAGCCTTCTCAACAACAGCAAAATGTATCATCACAGGCTCAGAGGAACTCTACAAGTCTTACTGAAATGAAACTCCCCGTGTTGCCCGGGAGTCTTGAAGATATATTGGAT